AATTGACGGAGAAATGGGGTATTTTAAGATGGGGTGCTACAGTTATCCGCAGATTTCCGATCCAGACGAATGCCTCTATGAAGAATCTGGTCATCCTTTTTCTGTGAAGCAGTCAGAGATTCGAACAGTAAGCGCATGCAACGTAGCTGCAAATGAAAGCAGTAAAACTGTACTGGCTATCACAGAATAATCAGGATTACATTATGCACTGCAAGTGGAGTGTGAAGTGGAAGGGGAAGAATCAACCGAAAACTTCTATCTCTGGCGATTAGTGACAAACTAACTCTTCAACAACAACTTCAATGTTCAATGTTCAATGTTCTTCAATTAGAGGCAGAGGGTAATTTCCCGTATGAGCCTCATCACCACAGACTCGAAGATCTCATTTATGATAGATCTGCATACCACATTGTTCGCAGGACGCTGTCGAGCTTCCTCTTGAACATCTTATCATTCACCTCTTCCACCATGTCAGCTGGAAGGGAGTTCCAAAGATTGGTTACCCTTCGCGATAGCCGGAACCGAAGAGGTAATCCTACGGACGAAAGCTTCAACAGCGTAAGTTCATGTCCACGAGTCCTGGTCTGCTCGCGCAGAGGGAAATACTCCATCAACTCTGGACCCATGTCACCGCGAAGAATACGTCGAACACAGATGATATCACCCCGTACTCGGCGATAGGACTCCGGAAACAATCCAGTCGAATGCAATCGTTCGGTGTAGCAACACCCGCGTAACCCGGCAATCATACGGGTGGCAGCTCGTTGGGCTCTCTCCAGCTTCAGCACCATTTCAACTGAATGCGTATTTCCGCAACATGAAAAAGCAAAAATCCGAGAAGGCTATGCACATGCATCGGAAACCCATAGGACGATCTTTCGAGAGGTCTTTCAAGTCTTTCCAGTGGTTTCATATGGCAGAGCCATAGAAAAGGATTCAATAAATAGCACGTCTTTCGTAAAGATGTTATGAAGGGGTGTAGCGGAATAAAATTATTCAAACTGTGATGAATCAAAAGCCAAGTTTGGAATACCATGCACAACACACGTAGATAGCAGACTTTTACACAAAAAATGAGAACGATAAACCTACATTTGGCATCAGCCTCGAGCATGCGTTTCTCCTCCTCGAGAAAGAAGTTCAATAAATTTTCTAGCACGATGCATTTTAACTCCAGCTGGTGATCGGGAATTTTCGACTTTTCTGGATCAGGAATCCGAACAGTTTCGCTTTGAAGCAGG